ACCTAGCCTTTGGTATTTTGTTACGGTAGCCCAAGCAAGTTCCCTTGGCTCCCCGGTAGCCATTCCCACCTCAGCCGTCTGCTTCTATTTTCTGCCTGAGGACCTTCTCTGGCACTGTAAGAATGGGAGAGTGGGGGCCAATTGGAAGTGAAGAGGGAGCTGACACTCCTATAGCAGCCCCCAGCCAACAGGCATGGGAGTTGGTGGCTTAATGCCCCACGCTCTCCCCTCCACCTCAGGTGAGCTGGTGATGAGTCATGTCTCAAGAGGCATCTCTTAGAAACCCCAGTGGCACTGAGTCCACAGCAGCAACCCACTCACTGACGTGCACTTGATGTTCTTCTCTCTCTGCCCTGCTCCCTCCCTCATTCCTGCTTCCTTGAGTTCACTCTCAAATAAACTGCCCGCACCTGCTTTTGTGAGCGCTCAAAATAAGACAAGAGATTCTAAAGGAAGTCATTATCAGGAAAAGGAAATGCTGTTCACAATGACCACAGCAACTTCCTTCCTTTCAGCCAGGTCATTCCATATAATGGCAGATGACATTGGCTACAGGGGCCTTTGGAAAGTTCCAGGACAAATAATAGCATTTCTAATACACGTTCAAGAGAAAACACTCAAGACCCAAAATAGAAATCTTCAAACCAATACATATTTAATCAGCAAACATTCTCCTGACCTCCCTTCAATGGGGATCACTTGTAACAAGTTTAAATTCTATGAATAATAAATTAGGAGGCTCTAATAGGTCCCTGGAAATTCCACTGAATTTTCTACAGATACGAAATAGACATATGTCTTTAAGATCATTCCATGGCTTAAAAAAAAATCCTACATTGAAACCATCATATCTGTTTCAGAGACTGCCCTTTGGGGATTCCTCCCCAACTCTAATGGGACCTCACTTAAATTTTTCTACCACAATCAGATGGAAATTTCTAGATCCCCAAACCAGGAAACAGGCACTAGTTTCCTCTCACTACTACTCCCTCTCAAATGCCACATCTGGATATGGTTCCCATGTTTTCAGTCCCCTGCATGAAGGCAGGTACCTTCCAGGTCATGGGTCCCAGTGGGTGAGTCTCACTCGTTGATAAGGGGGTGGGGGTGGGGGGAACAGAGGGAGCACTGCCCTTTTCTATTCCTTCCCAGAGACAAGAGAATGGGCTTAAGGTAAAATTAAACACCATCTCACAGTTGGTGAAATACAAAACCAACCTCCAAACCAGGTAAAAAAGCCCATTACAACTTCACTTGTCTTTATATTTGTACTGAGAAGCAAACCCATTTCCCCTTAACATACATAGTGAGGTCTACATATCAAAGAGCCCAACAGGGACTTCAAGCAGGGGTTTGTATATGTTCTTGCAAGTTCCATGCCCACGCCTCCTCAGACCCCCTCCTGTTCTATCTTCCTCCTCAGCATTCGTGCCCACCCATGACCTACCGCATAAGCTGTGTTATTCTTGTTTATTGTCTGACACCCCCCCACACACACACTAGAATGGACCCACTGTGAAAACAGGGAGTTTTGTCTGTTTTGTTCCCTGCTCTATCTCAACAGTGCCTGATAAACAGTTGGTGTCTTTAGTAGGATTATCCTGAAATTAGTTAGACAAAGCCTTTAGGGGCAGCAGGTGTATTTGGGAGATGATTCCGGGTAGCCGAGGTGAGGAAATCAGAAGAATAGGACAGGGAGGAGGAAAAGCCAACTAAAGGCATGGTATCAAAATCACTGATGAAGGCAAATGACCTTGGAGAAGCTTCCAGGAAGCTTCTGGAATAGTCCATGAAGAGAGTGGGAAATTGAGGTTCCCATGCCCCACATGTGAAAGGTTGTCCTCTGGGGTGTCAAGACCCTTGGACTTCCAGGCTGAACTTCTACTGGGGCTGAGCTTTGAGGCAACGGAGTGCAGCCGGTTGCTTGGGAAGCTTGAGGTAGGAATCCTGTCTGAGTGCTCAAAACTGCCCAGCCCAACTGCAGCTAGAGCCAGAGGTGGCGCATGTAGCGGTGGTGACGGGCACCAAAAGCATCTGCCTCAGGTGGCATTAAGCAAATACCTTTTAGGGAATAAATGGATTCTCCTTAATGTAGATATGCATATGCATTACCGGAAAATTGTGGGCCCCAGGCCCACCTTGCTTTAGAACAACAGTCAGTTTTCAGCACGCTCAGATCCGTTCAAAAGGAAAACTTGTTACTATGGCCAAGGAGTTCAGACCCCTTTTAACTTTTTATTTTCCCAGAGGATTTTCTATAACATCCGTGCTCAGAATTCCCATTCCTGGAAGGGAAATGGCTACAACCTCATTACAAGGATCCGTGGCAGGAGCCCTTCTTCAGCTTCTGAGAATGCTTGTCACCTTTGACTTCTGCTTGTGGCCTTTCCACGCTGGCCTCTTGGCCTCTCCTCTGGCTCTTTAACCAGCTTCCTTTCCTCCACTCACATCTTCTTGCTGTCACTCCACAGGGTCTGCCTAGAGGCGGCCTCCCATTCTACCGGCCCTTTCGGACACTCCCTATGACTCCTGGGCTGGCAGCCACCACACCCACATGTCAGAACACTCTGGTCCACACCTCCAGTGGCCCCTGTCTTATGCTCAGGGCTCAGGTTCCCAACGTCCTCCTGGACCAACCACGTACAAACAACGAGCTCAGTCCCGTGATTAGACTCATTACCAACCATCCCTCCCACCCCCACCCCATGCCCAAGCCTGCTTTTCCTTCTAAATTCCCTGTCGTGGGTGATACTCCCTTCTCTTCCAACCTGGAACCTCAAGGTCAGCCAAAGCCGCCTAATCTCGTTGTCTCTACCTGTTTCTTGAACACCAAGAGGTTAACAGTGGCTGTCCCTGGGTGATGGAATTTTTCTTCTTCTTTCTACTTTTATTTATTTTCTGAATTATCTCTGATGAACACATGATCTTCATAATGGTTGGTATGGTCCATAATAATCAATGGGTTTTATAACGGTTTATTATCCAAAATAGAAATCTATCTTGATTCCTCCTCTTCCTCCCCACCCCCAAGCCCTCTTACCCATTTGCTGACTTACAGCCTCTCTTATTCCAGGGAACACCTTTCACATCACAACCAGGCTAGTCTTTCTACAAACCAAACCTCATTCCTTCGTGCCCTTCATCAAAACACTTCTCTGGGATCATCTCCTACCACCTCTATCCCCATAGCTCACAAATTTATCCCAGTCACCTGGAGGGGAGTTGTTTACTTGTTTATCCTGCTTCCCATTAGAGTGTCAGCCCTGTTCACACTGCATCCCCAGTGCCTGGCACAATGTAAGTGTTCCATAAACATTGGTTAAATGGATGGAGGGAAATAATTGGCTTGTGGTGGGGAAGGTCTGTAACATTGGTTCTCAAGTGTGGCCAGAAGACCAGCAGCAGCAGCCTCTGGGAACTTGCTAGAAAAACAGACTCGTGGTTCCCACTTCAGACTAACTGAATCAGAAACTCCTTGGTGATTCTGCTCTATGACAAGTTTATGTTTGCCAGCATGGCTTGGCCATGGTCACAAATAAAACTAGTTTCCCCAACCGACTACACAAACCTTAGCAACCCCATGGGGAAATCACTGGAAAGCATTTAATCAGCTGCTCTGTGGCCAAAGTGTTTCTTTCCTCTAGGTTGCAGAAATGCAGCAGCTTTCCGGGTTTAGGGGGATGGCAACCATAGATGTCTCCCAATCAAGCTCCCCCGGCTGCCCCCACCAGGACCCCCACGCAAGCATCTGCACAGCTCCCCCATCCTGGGACCCTACAGCTGAGTACAGATTCCGAAGCACTTCCAATCTTTCTCTAGGAGGGAAAGGACAGGGAGGAGTTGAAGGGTCCCGGGATGGGGTGGGGGATGGGTAGCGACCTCCAGGTCCCAGGCTGGAAGCGGCCAGGGGCCTGCGGGGGGCCAAGAGCTGCTTCCTCGCGCCTCTGTTTGCCGTCGGCGAAATGGGTTTGGCAGAGCCTTTGCAGTGAAGCTGAACTCGGAATCAGCTAGCGGATTCCAACCCCAGCGGCTTCAGGGCAGAGATGGGTGTAGATCCCCTCGGCGCACTGGCCCAGGGTCGACCCTCTCCGGAGCCAGAGGCTCGACAGCTCAGAGAAAGGCGCACAGCAGCCTCAGGGTCCCCCCTGCAGGCTCCTGGCGGGTCAGTGACGAGAGACAAGGTCCTGTCCCAAAGTCCCGACTGCTGGAGGGACTGGGCAGGATGGGAGTTCTCAGGCACTCCGGAAAGGTGGGAAGGGCAGATGCAGACGCCAGCGGGGCACAGAGAGAGGGAGGCTCTTTGGGACACTCGCTGGCGCCACTTGGCGACGAGGAGCCGCAGGCGTCGCGGGCAGGAGGTAACTCGGCCAGAAAGAAAGCACAGCCCTTTTAAAAACTCTCAGCAAAGCCCGATGGTGTCACCCTCATTTAACAGCTGCGTGAACAGAGGCCTAGGGCGCCAACAGCCAGCTGTGGCCGCAGCGCTCTCACTAACCCGGGAACACTTGCCCTCGGAACCCTGGAGATCTTCGAGGGCTTTTCCTGGGGCTGAGAAGAAAGTGAAGACCCCCCCCACCCCCACGCTCTCTCCCCCAAGGAGCCTACTCACTGGTCCAAAGACCAGCAGCTGCCTGGGATGCTCAGCTGCTCAGCGAGGGGCCGACACCCCCTCCCTCTCAGATTTAAACTTTTGCGGGCACCCAGCCCTGTCTAGTGTCCCCTAGCTTCCTTTCCGGCCCCTAGGGTCCCCTATCCCAGGGATTCCTAGGTTTCCCACCCTGGAGAGCTCTGCGCTGGAATGGGCAAGGGAGAGGGAGCACCTGGGTCAGAGAGGGGGCCGAACACCCGACACCCGCCTGGGAGAGGCTAATCCAACTGCGCTGAGCCACGGCCCCCACCTCCCAGGAACCACTTCAATCGATTGTCGCCCCAGCGGCCGCCCTCTGAGCACGTGTTGCTGCGGGTCTGCGTCAGCGCTGGGCAAATCGGTGACTGGCCGGCAGCGCCGGGCGGGGCTATTTAAGAGGCAGCCGTCTGCTCGCCCCCCTGAACTTGGCTGGACTCCTCCGCTGCGCTGGTAGAACTGCGAAGCCAGCGGCGCCCTACTCCGAAGGTAAGTTCCCTCGCTCCCTCGCGGGGAATCCGGGCGTCCTTGAAGAATGCTGTCTTCCGTTTTGCGCCCTTCCCATTTTATTGTTCTGTGTCTTCTTTCCGACGGCTCGAAAGACATCTCCTGAAGTCAGAAATACCGGTGAGCGCTGGGTGGGTGGAGCGGCTTTGTTTTCATGCACGCAACGCTGGGACGTCTGTTTGCGGGGATTAGCGCACACCGTGGGATTTGCTAAACGTTCCACAGAGGTGTCGTTACTCTACATACAGTCTTTTCAAATAAACTACCAAGAGGCTTTAAGGTTTAAGTTCATTTTCTAAATATCGCAGAACAATTCTTTGGGGGATAGGTGTTTGATCTGCTCGCGGATCTAAAATGCAGCGGAGCTTCGTCAACCACCGAGAACCGAGCCCGTGTTTCTGATGTTTTAAAACCCTGCCTGTGCCTTGCATAGTGATTTATTGCCCATTTCTGTGCACATCTCGAAGAAACTTAATAAATCTGGTTTTTATTTCTTGTTCCCACATTTCTAACTGTCCTTCTCTGTTTTCCACCACTTAGTTCCTTATGGAAAGCTTCTTAGCTACCTGGGAAGGTGCTACTTTTCTTCAAGGGTCTCATTTCCCCCCCAGAGTCGTCCCTTTCGCAGGGAATCTCTTTAATCTCTTGCTCTGCCAGTTAGCAGAAAAGAGATGCTCTACAAATATTTCCTCAAACTAAAGAAAACCAGAACATGTTCTTTTTGCTAAGCAGGGTAGAAGACAGGGTCTCTGTCCGCCCCCCAGCCACTGGGTGTGGTGCCCAAAAGACAAGCGGGGTGCGCCCGGACGCGCGCGGGCGCGCTGTGCCCACTGGGCTCCCTCCCATCTGCACTTGGCAAGCCCAGGTGCTAGCACTTGCCTGGCGGGCCTGGGGCGCTGTAGATTTTAACTGAGCCCCCTTCTCCGTACGCTGGCGCCGGCTACCCGGACCCTACGCGAGAACCTGCGGATGGCCCACCTATGGGTTCACAGCCACTCCCCTTTGCTCTCCGCAGCCATGAACAGCGGCGTGTGCCTGTGCGTGCTGATGGCGGTGCTGGCGGCCGGCGCCCTGGCGCAGCCGGTGCCTCCCGCGCACCTCGAGAGTCCTGGGGCGCAGCAGGAGGAGGAGGCGCCCCGGAGGCAGCTGAGAGAAACGCAGAGTGTGAACAGCGAGCCCCGAGCGTACCTAGGCGCGCTGCTGACCAGATACATCCAGCATGCTCGGAAAGGTACCGACGCCGCCTCCCCGTCCCTCATTTTGCTGCCCCTGCGCGGGGCTCCCAATCTTGACCTTCCTCTCTAGCGTCTGGCTGATGGAGGTGGGTAAACCCCCGGGAGGAAAACACAGGCGACACTTCAAGCTGAAAGGTTTTTCACTTTCTTTTCTCGAGTAATACTGCGCAGGACAGTGCAGTTTCCTGGACATCCTTTGTAGCGAACTGAGAGCGAGTTTCCCTTTGCTAGTAAGGGAAACCTTTTCCAAAAGCGTTCTTTAAACCAATGTTCCGCACAGTGATGCTATTGAAGTTCAACACCATATTATGAAGACATTAAAAGGTAATCCCTGAAAAATTACTGACCCAAAAAGGTTTCACAGATCCTTTAAATACCCTCTACTATAAATGCAGAGGAACCAGGAGCTACCCAGATCCTGACACTTGGCAACCCTCTAGCAGGAAGTGATCAATGTTGAGAATGCTTGAGATCTGACAACAGCAGTTTAAAAAGAAGTGGCAACGTGTTGGTTTTCACCAAAGTAAGTAATAGGAAGAAAGAAACAAGTAGTGGTTTTGAGTTCTTGGCAGTGACCTAACATAATTACCTAACAAGAGACGTGTGTGCGCGCGCGCGCGCGCGTGTGTGTGTGTGTGTGTGTGTGTGTGTGTGTGTGAGAGAGAGAGAGAGAGAGAGAGAGAGAGAGAGAGAGAGAGTGTCAGACAGACAGATTGATTGATTTTGCTGTTGGTGAGATGTTCCCAATTGCAACAGGAGCTGAACAAGCCAATTTTCTCAGCATCAAAGTCTTTCTCCGATAAGGTGATCCAGTAGCTCACTAGCTTGAGTGGCCTACAGACAACCCTGTCTCTTTCCTGGGCCTCACTGTCTCATCTGTAAAGAGGGGACAAGGCTAGAGTTTTACTCTGCGCTGTCCAGCTCTGGGTATGTTTCAGAGGGAGAGTCATCCATCTCTAGGATCCTTAGGAGTCATGACTGGGACTGGGGCGTTCTTTTTTGTTGTTGTTTTTGTTTTTTTTTTATCAACTTTATCCAGTGACACTGATGGTGAACTCACTGTTCTGTTGGGCCGTATGCTAAACTTCCCCAACACAGCCGGACAATAAAGCCACAGCGTATGCTGCTGGGAGCGATGGGAGATGGGCCCCTTTCCCATGAAGCTCACTTACCCTACTGGTGTGCCTGTGCCTGGATTGTAACCTTGACTCCTGCCTTGACTAGATGGGGAGAACATGGAGGGCTTGCCTCTCCAGAATCTCCGATGGCTTCATGGGAAGGTGAGAGCAGGCCCTTTTTGAGCAGGGATTTCAGAAGGAAAGAACAGAAGATGATTTGTTACATTTCTTCCTCTCTCTGGGAAATGGTCCCAACTTCCACCTTCTGTTTTGCTTTCCTGCTAATTCATTTGAAAAAGGTGGACATACTAATCAGATGACAGAGAAAGTCTGGAAAGTTTGGGGGTTCCTATTAATTGGCTGAAAGTCCTTTAAATACCTATCCTTGGGTGTGAGTTGAATTTTAGCCAGGCCAGCCTGAAATATCCTAGGCTTTTCATTCAGCCATAGTCTGGAACCCCTGCCCCACCTTCAGGAAAGATGCATGAGAAATAGTTTGGGGAAGGAAGTCAGTCATCAAACTATTTCCCCAGAACTGACACTTGACGGTGGCCTTATCCCACAAATCTTAACCGGAAGGTGACTAGTGACTCTTCTCAGCCCCTTTCCCTTCGCCTCCATCATGTGGTGCCAAACAAACCCCGGTGGAAAGAGCAGCCCCTTGGGGGTTCGGCAGCGTACAGCTAGGCTCAGTGCCAGCTAGAAAACAGTCATACTCTTCTATTTGACAAATGTGAACTGGAGATAAAAACCATGCTCATAAATACTATACAGTTTCTTTGAATACCTGACATACTTTGAGATCGTATCAGATGTTTACTCAGCTACAGTGTATATTATGCTTAGAGTTTCTAAATGAGATAATGCACTTTTTGGGCAGTGCTCAAGGCTTTGTCATTAGGAATTGTCTGCAGAGTTTGCAATGGCCTGAGGAGAAGCAATTCCAATGGAGGGCGGGGAGATCTATTGTACACTTGCCCCCACGCCCAGCAATAACCCAGTGCTTCATCTACCTATATTGTCTCTCTTTCTTCTCACAACAGCCCTGCACAGTAAGTCCTGTCATCCTCATTTTGTCAGTGTGGAAGCTGGGCTTTTAGAAGTGAGTAACCAGGCTGCTTGCTTGCATCAAAGCTACCACTGTGCTGCCATTAGCTGGAACTGTGGGTTGCACCCCACCCTGGGAGTGGGAATTCAACATCAGCGGTAGGAGGATGGGTCATATTTCCATGTGACTGTGTACAGATAACGGAGTCTGCAGGTTTTGCTGAATGTGGACTAATATTTCACCTGAAAGGGGTTGAACGACTAAACCTCAGGGGCTGTTTTTCTTTTGCACAGGCTGGGTATATCTGCAAAAGGGCTGGAATGTGCTCGGTCGACTCTTAGTTCCAAGGCTGTAACTAAAGGGGGATGTCATTCTATATTGTTCTTTCTGGTTTTTAATTTAGCTGGCTGTATTTGATTATCTAAGAGAGTAACTGCTTCTGCAGTGTCATTTATCAATAAATAAGCCATAGTCTGACTCTGGACAGCCCGTGGTCAAGAGTTGGCAAGGGCAGCCTCACGCCAGCATCACGAACAGTGGGGACACAGCGGCTCCCAACACAATAGGAACCACGGAGTGGTCCTCCACCCCTCTACTCTCGAAACTACCTAGGCTTTGCTCATTGAGGTCCCTGAGGGAAATTCTTGCCCCTTATTTTGCACAAGAAAAGACATTCTACTGATTTTCTACCCAGGAGGACACTGACTGTGATGGGTGGGCTAGGATGCCTCCAAACCCCCCACCTCTTCACGTCCCTGCCTGGTCACTGTGAATTATACACGAGAATCATCCTGTTCCTAAGGACTTCACTCCATCCCAAAAGGCCCATTTCAAGTCCAGTTATTGCATTTGGGGCCAAATGGCTGAATTAAATGACCTCTTTATTACCTCTCTGCCCACCCTCCTTTGGATGGATCTGACAGTATGCCTTTTTCTCAATATCATTTTTGAAAAAGAAGGTAGATTTCAAAGTCATAATTTTTGAACAGTATGTACCTAGCAATCAGACTTGATTCCATGTTCTGAACCATTCCAACATCAAAATTTTGTCATCGCATTACCTTAACCAGAGTCAGGTATGCTCAGGGATAAACTTTAGACATGGGTAAATACTAGAGAAATCCTTGGTTGGCTTCTTCTGAGGGCAAGCTACATAAGGAGAATCACGCCTAGAAGGAGGAAAACCCAGGCAGGTCCCAGCTGTGAAAGGCTGGAGTCAAAGAGCCCACAAGTCCTTACAGATCTCGAACCACACCCATGACTAGTAGAATATTGCCCTCTCTTGAGCTACACGGACGTGGGTCCTTCTCCTCTTGTAGGCTTTGGTTCAGCAATCTCACTCTCCTGAAAGCTCCTTGATACCTTTAAGAAGGTACACGTTCCACATTGTCTGGCTTTTCCCATTGTTCTTCTTTGCAAATTGAACTAGTGATGCTCCCAATATAACAGCCCTGTTTCCTTCCTCCCTGCCCCTTGTAGCTCCTTCTGGCCGACTGTCCATGGTTAAGAACCTGCAGAGCCTGGACCCCAGTCACAGGATAAGCGACCGGGACTATATGGGCTGGATGGACTTCGGCCGGCGCAGCGCAGAGGAATATGAGTACCCCTCTTAGGGCCGCAGCCCCGTCAGCGCCACCGGAAGCACCCTCCTGACTCAGAGGAGGCCGAATAACAAAACAATCACGCTCATAACTCATTGTCTCTGAAGTCTGACATTTTAAGTGTCTATTTATTAAGTTCTCAATGTGAAAAATCTGTAAGATTTTTCTAGTGCACCTCAGCAGAATTGCACAAAATGGAAGACAAAATGTTTCCCTCACCCGTGACTCCTGATCCTGAAGTGTTGCTATGCTATTAAAGTGATTTCATTCTGTGTCCTCATCCCGTGTCTCTTGAGGGCAAAGGGCTCCATTCAGTCCTCAGAAGGTTCAAGGAGGGAATCCCTGCTGTAGATGGTCCCAGACAGGGCTTGAGAAATGAGGATTGGTTGTGGAACTGACTTCCTGCTGCAGGCAAGGTGGCCAGGAGAAGGGCCTTCTGCGTCAGCTCCACAGCTCAGTTCTGGCCATCCTGGGCTCTGGGCCCTAGCTGGGTGCCATTGCAAAAAGAGAACCTGCCTTGCTTGGAGTCAGCACCCATTTGCCTGGGTGAAGCCCAGAGAGGCAGCTTGGGACGGAGCCACATTAGCGTATGTGGCCATTGGTGGTGGCTTTGAGGGGACTTTCTGGAGCTTACTGGGCAAGAGTGGGGGGAAGCCTGAAGACCTTTTCCAAACGCTTTCAGTGCCACCACTGATTTCAGGCCGGTCCCCTTCTCGCTGCCGTGTCCCGCTCTTATCTCAATGCCCCTTGCTGACACAGGGGCCCAGGAACCAGGACACGTAGCCTAGCTCTTCATCCTCAGGAAACACAGTGGGCTTCTGCAGCTAAGCTGAGCCGGTCTCGCAGAAGAGCCAGCTGGTCCTCAAGCTCCGCTTTAAACGGGGGAAGAGGGGGTGGCAGTGAGGGAGGACTCACACAATAGGCAAGCCAAGATCCCCCTTTCCTCCCTCCTCCTCCTCCTCCTCTTCCTGCTCTCCCCCACCCCTCTCTCCCACTCCATGTACTCCTCTCCATCCCCTGGCCTTTGTCAGATGTCGCTCCTGCATCCCTCCAGCTTGCAGGACCCCCACCCTAGGCTATGTCCTGCAGGTGTTCTGGCTGTTTGCACCCTCGGCTCTGCTAATTAAGGCTGCTCTACAGGTTCCTTTTCATTGATCCACTGGAATTTACAAGTTGAAAAGTTCTAGCCCAACACACACCCTTACCCTACCCCCACTCCCATTTTATAGGTAACGAACTTGCCCAAGACTACACAATAAATGAGTGATGGAACCTGCAGCCCTCTCTGGAATTAACTCCTTGCCAGGCTGAGACATAAAGAACTTGTCTGGTGGTGCCTGTATTTGCTGATACTGCTGGACCTTTGGCTTAAGAGGCCTGGCCCGCCCTGACCTGTGACTATTCATCTCAACATGGCCAGAGAGTAGACAGATACACTTTCCCAAGATTAGCTTTACCCAAACCTGACCATGACACATCCGTCCTGTAAAGTGGGGAAATCTTTACACAATGCACCCCAACCTAGGAACACAAATGGCATCTTTTTTCTCAGGTTCAGGCAATCACAGGTAAAAGGAAAGGGAGGATGGGAGAAAGCTATTCCGTGTTCATTCTTTTAACAAACAACAACACAAAACCACCATCCTTTTTACTTGTCTCAGGGTTGAAAAGCCAAAGGAAAGACTCTTGACCACTTAGCTAGATTTCTGGGGACCCTGATCGCTTTTTTCCCAGCATCTTCAAATTATTGCTAGTCCCAAAGAGAAATAAATCAGAAGCCAAGCCAAAAGAGAAAAAATTGTTACCTCACTAATTTCTCCTGGGCTCTGGGTTCTGAAACGATTTATGAAACTGTTCTGTTGGACGCTGCCTCCTGCTCTGAGTTGATCCAGAGAACCAGGATCAGGGGGCCCCTGATGAGGGAATGCCTGCACCAGGTTCCCCATCACACCCGGTGCTGTCACTGGACAGACCTCCCCGCAGACAGCCTCGTCATTACTCCCAACTCTCTGACCTCGTCTCTTACTGCCACCCGCTCACTCCTCATTACACTCCAGCCTCAGAGCTTTCCTTGCTGTTCCTGGAAAATGCTAAAGCCACTCCTCCCTCAGGGCTTTGCACCTGCTGTTCCCTCTGCCTGGCTCACTCTTCCCCTGAAAAGCATGACTGGACCTCTCAGCTCATTTAGCTCCGACATTACCTGCTCGGAGCCTGTCCTGACAAACTTCTCTTAAACCGCTCCTCCATTGTTCTCTATTCTTTTTCTTGCTTTACTTTTCTTCTCAGGTTTATCCTCATTTGGAATTGCATTATTTATCTATTGATTTATTGGTTTTGTCTCACCCATGAGGATGTCAGCTCTGTTAAGGCAGAGATTTTTGTCTGTTTTGTTTATTGCTATGTTCCCAACACCTACCACAGCGTTTGGCACATAGTCGATACTCAGGAAATATTTGTTCATTAATTAATCAATTAGTAAGGGAAAAATATCTCTGGATCTCTGCTACTCAGGTTACAGATTGGTTTTAGAAGGAGTTTCGTTGGAACATTTATTTTAAAACCCAGAGAGGAAAGGCAGGCTCAGTCACATGGCCGTGCTCTCCAAGATAGGCATAAGGGTGAGAAACTGGAAAACAGACCACACACACACACACACACACACACACACACACACACACACACAAAGGCTGACAGCATGCGTAACATCCATGGAGGGTGACAGTATACTTTAAAATATACCTCACCCCAACCCCCACATAAATGTTTAGCTCTATTACTTTGCAATTAAAATCCAGAGAGAGTAGAGGAAGGAAAGATGGGGAAAAAAGAGTGTTGATGGTTTCTGTTGCATTTGCTCAGAATATCAAAGAAGTGAAAACAATCTAAGTGTTCCACAGTGAGGGGGCTGTTAAAGAGATAAACGGACATCCAGTTGTTAGACTCTTAAGCAGTTATTTAATGAGTGTAAGTATAGTGTAGGAACATGGAAAATGGCTATGATCCATGTAAAGTGAAAACATACTGTGACTACACTAAGTTTGTGTACCTTTTAATGGGATAATGTGAAAATGAAGAGAGTCATGTTAGGGTCATAGGATCACAGGTATTTTTCTTCCTTTTTTCTAAACTTCCGGTACTATTGGTAGGTCATCCTTATAACAACTGCAGGGCATGCTGTCCAGGCTGTGCCAGCCTACAGAGAGACAGAGTCATAAGAAAAGCTACAGAACTAGTTCTTCAGTCACCTTCACCCAGGAAACACCCCCAATTCTCCCTGGATGATTTTCGGACTCACTGAGGCTTGTCACCTCACGGACTCACTGACACTATGTCACACATAGTGTCCACCATTTTGCCCACCTTGACGCCTTCTCACTAGGGCCGTGACGCTCCCTGAATATGCCACTTTGGCTGGTGGAGATAACAGTATTCTAGCTGCTGTGCCCACCCCCAGGTTCAGGCCCAGTGTCTATAGTGTTCTGATGTCTTCTGGGTGAGTTTGAGCATCACAGTTGCCATTTTGTTCTCACTGGCTCTCAGCTGCACTCTGTAGGGTCTGGATACCACTGGAGCTTTTCTAATAAGCAGTTATCACCAAAGACACCAGGTGCCCCAGGCAGGTGGCTCTACTTCCTCCCCTGGTTATGGAAGTCCTTTATTTGGCTCACAAGTTTCAGAAACATCATTGGCCTCTGAAGGTCACTGTGTATATCTGAAGTCTCATCATGTAACCTCATAAATGGAAAATAATAGCTTGAGTCACGTGAGCGCCGTTATTTACACCTGGTGGTGACTTTACGCTCAGCAGGGTAGGGATGATGCGGACGGGCTACTAGTTCAGCTGCTGGGGTGGAACCAGGGCGTTACCCTTCTGTGTGAAGAACGTTATCAGTTCTTTTCCAGCAGGCCTGTTGCTATGAATTCTCTTAGTTTTCCCTTCATCTGAGAATGTCTTTATTTTACCTTCATTCCTAAAGGATATTTTCACTGGATTTAAAATTCTAGGTTGACTTTTTTTTTTTTGTACTTTAAAAATACTGTGCCACTTCCCATGACCTGCATGGTTTCTGATGAGAAATCTGTAGTCATTCAAATCATTGTAGTCATTCAAATCATTGTTCCCCTATAGATAATGAGTCATTTTTCTCTGACTGCTTTCAAGAGCTTTTCTTTGTCTTTAGCTTTCAGTAGTTTGATTATAATGTATTTGGCTGTGGACTCTTTGAGTTCATCCTGTTTGGTATCTGTTCAGCTTCTGGAATCTCTAAGTTTATAGCTTTCACCAAACTTGGGAAATTTTCAATCATTATTTCTTCAAATCTCTTTTTCAGCATCACACTCTTTCTTTCCTTCTTCTGGGGTTCTGATGACACAAATGTTAGATCTTTTGTTGTTGTTCCCCGTGTCCTAGAGGCTTTGTTCATTTTTTTCTCTGTGTGGTTTACAGTGGATGATTTCTATTTATCCATCTCCTAGTTCACTGACTCTCTGCCACTTCCATTCTGCTAACGAGTCCATCTGGTGATTTTCTTAGCATGGTTTTTGTGTTCCTCTGTTCTAAAATTTTCATTTATATCTTCTATTTATTTGCTAAGATTTTCTATTTGAACATTTGTTTCAAGGGTTTTTGCAATTGCTCAGTTGAGCACATTTATAATAGTTGCTTTCAAGTCTTTAATAATTCCAACATCTGTGAAATCTTATCATTGGTATCTGTTGACTGTCTTTCTAAGGAACATTAAAATTTTCATGGTTCTTTGTATGCTTGGTAATTGTGGATTGTATCCAGGACAATTGGAATATTAGATTATGAGACTTTGGGCCTTGTTTAAATCTGATTAAAAATGTTGATATTTTTGTTTCAGCAGGTGATCAACCTGGCTAGGTTCAGTCTGTAAGTTCCAACCCACCTTCTGTGGGCTGACAGTTCAGTTTTCTGGTTCCATTGGAGGTGTGCACCACCTATTGACCAGTGGGAAAACCGGGTGGTGGTATGTGCATTACTTCAGATCTCAAGGTCTTTGGTCTGCTAATTAGGACCTGATCCAGACATGCACAATTCGGGTGAGCCCTGAAGTTCATAAACAACTGCATGGAATCACTTTTCTAAGCTCCTCTCTCTTTGTAACCTCCCCAGTACCTCTCAGTTCCCTGGGGATCCCCTTTTTCATCCTCCACTCAGAAATTTGGGAGTCTGGTTACCCTGTTCTGCCACATACGTCCATGTTTAAACCCGTGTTCAGGTCCAAGTGGCAGGAGAACAGAAAGAAAAACAACAAC